TAAACTCAGAAAAAAAAAATTGTCAGAAAAACAGAAAAAAACTAAATATTCAGACAATCAGTAAAAAATTACTCAGAAAAACGAACCATAAAAATAAATTACTCTGAAAAACAGAAAAATAAATTACTCCGAAAAACAAACCAAAAAATAAATTGCCAATGGCATTTTTAGTGTCTCAAGTCCATGTTGGCTGGGCACAGATATGCATGACACAGAAAATATAATTAATATAGAATTTAATTTACATTTGCATTTCTGTATTTTTGTTCTGTATGTTTTGTTTTAATATGTACATATAAAAAAAACGTCAAAAGAAATGTTGCAAACAGGTCTGTAATTACATTTTTTGTCTTTTTACGGTGCATTGAGCAAAAAACATTGACCAACATCATCTCGCCCTGCTGACTCCACCAGATGATGTCAGTGATTTAGGTGCCATCAAAGGCCAAACAAAATGGCCCCCACACTCCACGACTGCATGGAGGGCCACTGATAAAAAGGATATATGAGCAGGAAGGAGCTTTAGGGCTCAATTCTGGCTTTAGAGCGCCTTACCACATTAGAGCCAATCTCAGGGCCGGAGAACATTGGCCCTTGTCCTCAGGCAGGCTCATCACTCACACAAGAGACTCTTCACCACACTCACTCGCAGAAAAGCCCTTGGCTCTGCTGCTACTGATAGAAACAGTCCTCGTCTCCTCGCTGTGGAGCAAAGCCACTTGATGGAAACTCTCTATCAAGAACTGTAGTTGAAACAATTTGTTTTAACATTGTCAGAGCTGGAGCAAAGATTCGCCAGGAGCCCGCTATAAAGAGGAACTTTCCTTTGACGTCACTGAGATGGATGGTGGAAAACACAAGTGATGTCTTTTGTCCTCTCTTTTTTAGTGGAACTGAGCAACAACATCATCTCATAATGACTGTAAAACACTGCAATTGATTTTATAAGGCAATTATCAAAACCAGTTGGGGAGTCACAAGAAGAATGAACTTTAATTATAAAGCTCTTTATTTGTGTGGGTTTACAAAGTGCTTCACTGGGAGGAAAAACAGCAAGAAAAATCTGAAATTGAGATCAAGCAATAGAAATCTCATTTAAAGAAGTGGACTGGATTGTTCAAAAACAAGTAGACATGTATTTGGAAAAATATATATATATATTTTATATATATATATATTTTTTTTTATATATATAATATAATATATATATGAATACAAAATATTTGGAAATACTAAAACAATGAATTGTTTTCAGATGCAACCTTTACACATTCCTTTTCAGTGCTTATAAGATAATGTCTTTGAGTTAAAATATCTGCATCTGGAGGCTTTTCCAATAGTCATATATGTGATTATCTGAAATTAAATCAGCGTATATATATATATATATATTTATAAGTTTCCATCCAAGTCTAACACAAATATTAACCAAATGTCAAGATAATTGGCAAATTAATGCAATTATTGCACCCAAATGATGTAAAATAAATATCATAGATGACACAAGATGAGGCCAAATTGTGTCAGATGGTGTTTTAAATGTATTCAAGGCTGAACCATGACCCTGATAGTCAAGATTTATATTTGAATATCACAAAAACTTCAGCTGTCTCATTCTCTGTGACTATAATAATATAATACTTAGCTGCTGGTGTCTGCAAGTTCTTTACATTCATGTGTGTCACTGTTTTGAATACTAGAGGGCACCAGTGCTCTCGTTTTTAAGAAACAACAGTGAGCCACATATGAACCATCATGAGTCATTTACTGTAATAACATACGAAACTAAATGATTTTCTTTTAAGCAGTGTAAACCCACCTCCTGGCTCAATCTTTTTATCTCCTCCACCACTATAAATCTATTAAAACATCCCTCCTGGAATGGAATAATCGGTAACAAGGGATTTTTACAGCTATTCTTCAAGCCAGTTCTTTTTTATTTCGCTGGTCCTTGCAGGGCTGCAATGTATTTAACACTAGTCTGATGCTTATTAACTTTCCCACAGCCGTAGATTAATTTCCCCTTTGCACCACTGTAACTTTGGGGGGGGTTTAATTGTGTTTACTTCTCTTCATTGGCCCTACTTTGAAGATTTGTGTTACGGCACTAAAGTGGACTGGAGTGAAAATAAAGTCTTGTGAAGTATCAAGTTGACTGCTAAATCATCAGATTTAGGATAAGTGTTGAAGCTATACACACGTTCCTCAGGCTTATATTCATATCCAGTGTAATATGTTTAATGGAGCTTGTAATTTATTAGAATCTCATTGATTTAGCCATTTAATTAATTGCATAATTGATGTTTAGGTTAATACATTTGCTTCAAGAATAATAACTGCATATAAGTGAACTTATTATGACTATATATAATGCACAGTATCTATATTGCTAAACTAAGGGTAATTGATTCTCTAGAGGGTTTTGGTCTTGCTGTCCCCCTGTTAGTCCTCTGATCTGTACCTGAAACCACCCGCCCACACTAGAATAGATCATTTCCCCCCTCATTTCCAAAACTCTTAGCCTACACAGTAAACAAAGTAGATGAGTTGAGGTCCCTCATCAACTGAAGTATTTCCACTGCCGGAGCCCTAATATGACTGTGTTTTGTGCGCACGTCATTAGAGCAAGGCAGAGGTGGGCCTTATTATTTTTAATAATCTCCTGTTTTTGCTGCTTCTTAATCCCGAGAGATCTGCAGTCGGCACTTCCCCACTGTGATCGTCAGTCCTGACTCCTTCCACCTCCTCCTCTTCCTCCTCCTTCACTGTGTTCAGTCTTAATGATGCTCTGTCATACAGGCGCGACCTCACACTGCAGGAGGCTTTTGCTGCTAATAGACCCAAAGTCTAAGCTGCAATCGACACTACCAGAGAAAGTTGAGTGATAAGACTGTGGTGATGTGATAATTTGTCTCAGACACTGAACATATCTGTGTTTGAAACCTATTTCGCATCTCTCTGCAAAATTATTGTAAATTACTGTGGACTGCAGGATCTATCCAGTGGGAGCTGCTCTATTGTGTCTCTAACAATGCACAGCTGCATTGTTAGGCAAATAATAGAAAGCGGTTATTTGGAAACACTATTGGCACTTACATGTCGATCATAGCCGTAACTGGACTGTCAACTTCTGTCTCACTCTTTAGAATCATTCCAGTTTGTACGTTTTTAGTGGAATCTGGTGTCGTCGCCACAAGACAAATTCAGAGTGTTTTTTCTAATGTCTAATCTGTATTCTCTGCTCTTGCTGTTTCATACGGTAGACTCAAGCAAACCTGCATGCTGAGAATAGACCAAAAAGTCTTTCTACTCACTAATGAATTAATTATGTCTGAAAAGCAACATAAAAATGGACGTGCATACTCATTTGAAAACCACAGAGGTTGCACAAAGCATAAAATAATCAAGAGTTGAGTAATTGAGTGATGATAGTTTACTGAAATGCAGCTTATTTAATAAAACATTGCTTTCATGTCATCCTTCACCTGGCTGTGTGAAGTTTAAAGACAAAAATAGAGCGTTTAAGCCCAAATAACCACCCAGGGACCACCAGCAGTGGTGGATTTCATCTACTAGAGAGTCACATAAAGTTATCTCCTCCTTCCAAACACCCCTAAAATTCATGCATTATATCTGAGATGAGGTGAATGTTAAGCTGTGGGGTTGAGGAGGCTGCACGTGGAGGTTGTTGAGTCAAAACTGTGTTTTTTGTTGAGTTAAATAATGTGTCATAGTTGGGAGTATTTAATAGACTACAGCTCCCTATAATTTCCTGGAAAGGAACTTCTATGTAACTCTGTATGGGAAGGTTCATTGAAAAGACCTAATTTGCTACTAATTACTGTTTAGGGGAAATGTAGACAGCACTCATTGGGATACTGACAATTAATTCATTCCAATTAATGACTAGCAGAACCGAGAGTGTTTTAGTCAGAGCATAGCAAGTCAGTTAAAACATGTTGGAAAAATGTGATACGTATCAACAGCAAAGCATACAAACTCATAAGGAGAGTAAAGGTTCTAATAATAATTGAATAATGAATGAATATTTACATAGCTTTAAATGTAGAGATCTGTAAAATAAACTGTTACTCTCTAGACTGAGGTGAATAAACGTTAAAGGGTTAGGGTTAAGGGCTGGATCCTGGCTATTCCATATTATTTACAGTATGTAAAAACATGCTACCCAGCCACTCGAAGGGTCAGTTTTTCTGCAACATTTATTTACATCACATATCAGCAGAATACAGTGTTACTCTTCACAGAAGACCAGTCAAAAAACTTTTTTAACATTTATCGCAGGGTCCATCTCATTTTTGGTTTCCAGAACAGTCACACGATGCTCTGAAATAAGTCTTATAACATTAATCAACAAACAATATTATCTTTAATATGAAAACCATATAATGTGAAAATAATGTCAAATCAGTGTCAGAGATTCTCTTTGCTTTTGCTCTGCTTTACACCGTAAATACATTCATGTGTGGCATTAAGATACAGTTAGAGAATAGAGAATGTCTGCGTTGTTGTCACCTACAGCACATTCACTACATTTAAATTTAACACTGTACAGACACAGAAAGAAAGCAATAATCAATAATAAATAAATAGGCAAATAAATATTTTGGAGGGAAATATCAACCTGCAATTTTCACAAAATTCCCACCTGGAAATGGAAATCCAGGAATCCATACAGTAAGTCAAAATTCTTTTCATTGGTTTCGATTATAAAATGCAGTATTTGGTCTTCAGCATTGGTTACATGCAACACTAGCTATGATTTGGGAATATGTTTAATTTAAAGTTCTAAAGAAATATAAACTCAAAGGGAAATATAATATCACCCTGAAGCATTTCTCTCGTGAGAATGAATTTGTGCTTATAGCTAGTTCTTTCACTGCACTATGTATTATAAAGTACATAGATTTCATAAAGGAGTATATGGAATATTAATGTCTAATTAATATATCTAATTGGCTTCTTGTATCACAGAATCAACTTTCTTTCAACTTATGATGGAGGATGAATAAGCAATAACACAACTACGCTTTCCAAAACAATTTTTTAGCATGGTACATAATCCATGTAGTAAAATCAATACTGTGCGGCAGTGGAAAATATATATAATAAATAATATAACAAGATACGTCAGAACTCTTCACATTCTTATTTGGCTGAATTAAATTGCCTTCT